GCCCGGAGCGCGCGGCGTTTTTTCATCCCGCCGCGCGCCCGGGGCGCGCGGCGGTTTCCTACCGTGGGGGACCCGCGCGCAGCCCCCGCCCTGTCCGTCGCGCGCCCCCCCCCCCGCCATCCCGTCGCCCGTCGCGGCGCCCAGGGGGGCCGCGCGTCGCCCTGCCCGTCGCCCGTCGCGGCGCCCTGGGGGCCAGCGCGTCGCCCCCCCCCCTCCCGTCGCCCGTCGCGGCGCCCTGGGGGGCCGCGCGTCGCCCCTCCCGTTGCCCGTCGCGGCGTCCTGGGGGGCCGCGCGTCCCCCCCTCCCGTCACTCGTCGAGGCGCCCTGGGGGGCCGCGCGTCGCCCCTCCCGTCGCCTGTCGCGGCGCCCTGGGGGGCCGCGCGTCCCCCCCTCCCGTCACTTGTCGAGGCGCCCTGGGGGCTCACGCACCGCCCCAGCTGCTGCCCCCGTTTTTGCCCTCCGTTTGGGGGTATGGGGGTGGCGGGTATGGGGGTGGCGGGTGTGTGATCCGTCCCCTACTCCTCCTCCTCCTCCGTCTCCCACTACTGCAGCTGCCGCTGAGGGGGGTGGGTGTGTGGGAGCCGAAGGAGTGGAACTGGGGGGTGACGTGGGAGTGGAGTTAGGGGTGAAGCAGGGGGTGTGTGTCAGGGGGGTGGGACTGTTTGGGGAGGCTGAGAGGAGGCTGCCGTCTTGTCGTCCGCAGCACCTGTAGTCCGGGGCGCTGTCCTGGTAGCCCAGAGAGCCTGCTGCGCCTGTCGCCCGTGGGTCCGTTGCTCCTGCCGCTCCTCGTAGCCGCCGAGCCAGTTACTCCAGTAGTCCGGGGCGCTGTCATGGTAGCCACTGTGCCAGCCGCTCCTGTTGCCCGTGTGTCTGCAGCTTCAGCCGTCGTCTCCCATCTTCTCTCCTCTCACAGTCCCTCCTCCTCCTCACTTGCCCGCTGTGACTACCACTAGCTTTGCTTATAATTGTGAACTACTGCTATGCTTGCTCATTGTGCTGATTACACCCCACTTTGGCTATGGGGTTGTGTCAGAATGTTATATTATCTAGCCTGCAGTGGGGTGCTCTATAGCGAGTACAGCCCAATTAGGGTTTGCTATATGTATCCCAACTGCTGCTAGTGAACCCTCTCTTTCTGTTTCTAAACTTTCTACTCGTACTTCTGACACCACGTTGGCTCGGATCGAAACAGGGCGGGCGCTGCGGCTTGAGTGGCATTGGTGCCATGATGTCGTGGCTGCCACTTGTTGCTGCAAACTCCACGTGCCGACGAGCTTCGCGAGGCCCACGCGGGCTTGGCGCGGCCCGATTTCTCTCCATGCCAGGCATCGATTGAGCGGCGCCATCACTGGCTGCGCCTGAGCGCTGTCCCACGCTGTCGTTTTGCGTCGGTGTGCCTGATGAGATGACGATTGGTTCTTCTGATTGCGCAGGTGCATTTGCGGGTGCTTGTGATGGAGCTGGCGCATTCACCGTTGATTGCTGGCGGGCGGAGTCTCGTTCCGCCGTGAGTGTCGCGATTTCGAGCGCCGAGTCTTCGAGTTGGCGCACGAGACGGTCGAGTTGCTCCTGCGTTAATGTCGCAAGAGTAATTTCGGCCATGGCGGGGGTGTCGGGCAAGCTCAGCGAGAGCCTCTGTCGTGGCCGTGCGTGCTTGCGAGAGAGCACTTCGAGCAGCGGTGCTTGTTCGCTGAGAGACGTCTACCCCCCCAAAAATTGAGATAATGGGGAAGCGAAGGTGTGGGCGCGGTCCGAGAGGAGATCGTAGGCTCTGAATACCAAGTGTTACGGGTGCAATTGAACGAGCGAGTGAGAATTGCACTATCGAAGCAATCAATACAGTCGAGCGAAAAGCATGAGCTAAGTTATATAGCGAAGCTAGCGTGGTAACGGTAATGCGGGAAATTGGGGTGCGCTACGGGCCTAGTGCCGAGGTTGGGAATTGCCGAGGCGGAGGTCCGGAGCGCGGGTTACCAACCGAACCGTGAGGTTGGGTCGCATCGTGAACAGTGGCGGGAGTCGTGGTCAAGGCGAATGTCGCGAGCGGGTAACGTTCACGGATGGGTGCCGATGGCGGGAACGGGTATGTACGCGGTAAGCAGGGACGCGAAGTAAGGAAAAGGAATTTTCCTTACATATAGACTCCCCCAACCAGAACTGGGACCTGAATAGCAACATCCTTGTCGGGCCGCCACGTAAGCGAAGCAGATCACGCGAGCCGCTTCGAACCCTGACCTTTTCTCCCATCTTTTTTTTAACGGCGACATCACTCCTGTGCCGCGTCAGCTGGATCTATTGTCCGCATCATCAATCCAGGCCAGCCCGCTAGTTTTCAGTACCACTAGAAATTTAGTCACTGGCAGGTAATTAGGATTCTATTCTCTCCTTATGTTCACTAGATTTAGGTGCACCGCTCCGTTAGCGCGGCTCAGGGAGCGTACGTGGCCACTATCATAAACCAGTTTCCCACTTGCTTCGTGATCCTTGCTAAGTGCGAACCTTCAATCTCAATCGTCAGTCGTGATGAACAGCACATCGGGACCGTCCGACGCACCCACTACCGCCGTGACGACTCGAGCCGAGACCAAATGGAGGGATGGTTGCTGCCCCCTCGACTGCCAGGATTGTCTCGTCGTCACCTCTAGCGCTCTACTAACATTCCCGGATCGATGATATAAGGGGGCAAACCATTACCCTGAGGTCATCAGACTGAGCCCTTTCAGCGAGAGTCACGCGAGAGCATCTTGTAATCGCGTCTGTGTTGAGCATCCGATTCCGAATCGAGTCGAAGACAAGACCCTTACCATGGCTCGCCTCTCCCTTATCGCGCTGCTGCTGCTGCTGGCAAGTAAGGGTTTCGTAACGTCACGGCCCGCAAGTGAGATCAAACTGGTACGAGCCCAATCTAGAATGAATCACATTAGTTGTCCTGCACTGGCGTGCTTGCCGTAAAGAAAGAGCATGATACTCTCTTCCAGGGGGTTCAACGCTTGTGAGTCGCCTAGAGCGACAGATTGAAGTGTTTCTTCTGAAGTTGTTTTCAATTCCACCTTCTAAGTTCGACTTGGGCTTGTGGTGTTCTGTGCAGCCTCTTTGTTGGACTTTTCGAGCACAACCCGCCCTGCAGTTGCTGTGAGTGATGTCGCAAGTTCCCCCTCTCTGTACCTTAGCGTTTCCTTTCCAGTGTCCCTTCCCACCCGTTCGTTTCCTTGTTACCACCCCCCTCCCCCCTCCCCTCCCCCTCCCACCCACCCCGCCCCTCCCTTTCCTTTCAGTTGCTCCGTATGTTCAACGTTTTTACTCCCGTTCAGTTGCCTCTCCCCTTACTTCACCCTTCCTGATCCCTTTCAGTTTCCCTTCCTCTTACTTCACCCTTTGAACTCCCTTCTAGTTGCTGTTACCCTTTTTTCACCCTTTCAGTTGCCTCATCCTTCGACTTTTCTATTCCCTCCGTTTCCCTTCCTTTCTACTCACCCTTTACACTCCCTTTCAGTTGCAATTCCCTTCACCTAGCTTCCTTTTTAGTTATCGTTCCCCTTCCTTTTTGCTTTGCTTTCAGTTATCGTTTCTCTTTCCTCACCCTTCCGCCTTTCAGTTATCGATCCCCTTTCTCCACTTTTTGTCGTCTCTTCCAGTAGTAACCCTTTTGCTGCTGCGCTTCCTCGGTTTCACTCGAGTTGCCGTTTCTCTTCAACCCCTCCCTGATTCAATGCAGCACGCTGCAACCGTAATGGTTGGCGGCAAGAAGGGCTGACCTGGCGTCAAGTCCTGGACTCCACCGTCGACTCTGGCATCTGGTGATGTGCTAGGTGCGTCTTACCTTGTGTCACAGATGAGTTGTGCTGGGGATGAGTTACCATGTGTCGGAATGCAATGAAGTTCATTTAACTTGTTGCTGATCTGCGCTTTGACTACGTCACACTCCCCTTCCCTGTTCCTCACTAATCGCTTCAAAGAAATCTTTCGCCACCATCACCACGTTTTCAAGTCAAACGCCACCGTACCTTCTTGGCAGCATTCAATAGAGCACCAACACTCTCTACCTCTGCTTCGTTCTGGGTGCATGCATCTCTACCTGGCTGCAGTCTTCAAGTGGGGCGGCGGCTTCTTGACGCCGTTTTTTTTGCCAGAAGCACAGTGTGGCTCGGTCCACTAACAGCGTTGTGTATGCTGCGTGCGATAAAAAGACGGTCTACACTCCTGTCATTGGGAAGCCTGCGCGCACGGAGAAAAGGTCCTTCACGCTTGGGAGGGAGGTGTATTATTTTATCAGCACTGTTGGGACAGACTGTTCCAAAGGCATGAAACTGGAACTTAGCTTGTCTCCTCCTGAATAAGGAAGCTTATATAGAGCCATTGTTGCACCATCTTTGGGGATGGGAATTACGATTGCAATGGAGGTGTACGGTATTACTTTATCAGCATGTTGGGAAGGATTGTGACAATGGCATGAAGCTGGAACTCAACATGTCTCCTTTTGAATAAGGAAGCTTGCATTGCAATGTTTGGGTTTGGAGAACGCTCTAGCATCTGTGAGGCACTTGCTTGTGAGAACCAACCCAACATTAAACCCAATACCCTCTGCGCCCCATAGTAGGACCACAGCACTCAAAAGCATTGTGTCCCGCGGTAAAAGGCTAGTATTTTGTAGGCCAAAGAGGTCTACACGACACAAAACCTCACAATCTATTTTCAGCCGGCCAGCTCCCTCCTAAACCCCAAATCGAACCCTAAACTAAGTGAGCCGTATGCCTCCTGACGTTAAGTAAAGTAAAGTAAAGAGCACTACGTGGGTCGCACGGCAGGGAAGGCGAATGAGAGTGCACCACCACAGCACAGCTGGTGGTGAAAGGACTAGGTCTAGGAGTACCGTGACACCATCAAGTGCAATCGGTGAAGCCAGTGGTCAGCAATGGCAGGGATGGATGGATAGAATTGATAGAATGGATGGATGGGAGTAGGAGATTTGCACCAGCCAAGCATGTGAACCAGCAGGCTTTATGCTCTCCTGCCCTTTCTGCTCTCCTGCAATTCTGCTCTCCTGCACTTCTGCTCTCCTGCCCTTTCTGCTCTCCTGCACTACTGCTCTCCTGCACTTCTGCTCTCCTGCACTTCTGCTCTCCTGCACTTCTGCTCTCCTGCACTTCTGCTCTTCTGCACTTCTGCTCTCCTGCACTTCTGCTCTCCTGCACTTCTGCTCTCCTGCACTTCTGCTCTCCTGCCCTTCCTGCTCTCCTGCACTTCTGCTCTCCTGCCCTTTCTGCTCTCCTGCACTTCTGCTCTCCTGCACTTCTGCTCTCCTGCACTTCTGCTCTCCTGCCCTTTCTGCTCTCCTGCCCTTTCTGCTCTCCTGCACTTCTGCTCTCCTGCCCTTTCTGCTCTCCTGCACTTCTGCTCTCCTGCACTTCTGCTCTCCTGCCCTTTCTGCTCTCCTGCCCTTTCTGCTCTCCTGCACTTCTGCTCTCCTGCACTTCTGCTCTCCTGCCCTTTCTGCTCTCCTGCACTTCTGCTCTCCTGCACTTCTGCTCTCCTGCACTTCTGCTCTCCTGCCCTTTCTGCTCTCCTGCCCTTTCTGCTCTCCTGCCCTTTCTGCTCTCCTGCCCTTTCTGCTCTCCTGCCCTTCTGCTCTCCTGCTCTCCTGCCTGTCTTCTCTTCTGCTCCTTCATATCGAACTCCCTGCCTGCATGCACCCACCTCCTTGCATTTCTCTCCGTAGCACCCCCCTCCCTAGCACTGCTCTCATCTGCACCAGTCTTAACTATACTACATCCCCTCACTCTTCCAAAGCACCAACGTCTAACTACCTCCTTATTCGAGTCAACCTAAGGCCCATGATTTGTCAGCCTCTTTCTCCTCCCCCTCGCCTCTCACCCCCATCACTCCCATTACCCCTGTCGCTGTGGGACCAAGAGCCCTTGAAGGCGCAGCAAGGGCGCTTGCAGGTGGCTTTTGAGGCGCCTCAAACCTCCCCTCGCTCCCATCACCCTCCCCACGCCCATCACTCCGCTCGCTGTGGGAGAAATAGCCCGTGAAGGCGCAGCAAGAGGACTCGCAGGTGGGTCTTTTTAGGCGCCTCACACATAGACCCATCACTCCTGCCGCTGTCGAACCAGGAGCCCCTGGAGGCGCAGCAAGAGCGCTCGCAGGTGGGCGGCAACGTCCGGACCCAGGAACCGGCTGGCGATGGCTTGCAGCTGGGCGGCAAGGATTGGCCCGACTAAGCGGTCGATGAACAGTTGCACTTGGGTGGCGATGTCTGGGCCGAGGAGGAGGAGCAGGAGGTCAGTGGCGGAGAGGAGGAGCGCGATGGCGAGCAGGACGAGGGCTGTGAGAATGAGGAACGTTACCCAGCCTGGTGGGGGTGGGGAGGGGCGTATGAGGAGAGGGGGGGGGTGAAGAGAAGGCACATGAAAATAGGTAATAAGGAGGCCTGAGGCGGAGAGGAAGAGAGCAGGAGGACGAGGGCTGTGAGTATGAGGAGGGTTAAGGGGGATTGAGGAATGAGGAGAGCTTGGGAGAGAGGTGAAGGGGTTAGGAGAGCTTGAGGAAAACAGATGAGGTGAAGGGGTTTGGAGAGAGGGTTGCATGCCGCTTGGCATTTTCTGCACTGGAATGCGGTGCGCAAAGGGACATGCTCATAAGTCGCCCCTTGCGAGGCCTCAACTGTGCAACACCCCACCGCGCAACACCCCACCGCACAACTCCCCACCGCACAACACCCCACCTCGCAACAACCCACCCACAACGCCCCACCGCGCAACACCCCACCGCCCAACACCCCAGCACCAAAACGAGCACCCCAAGGAGCACCCCTGACCTTGGCCGGCGGGCTTGGCAGCGACAGCTGTGACACGCGCACTGGAGTCACCCGACACCGACAGCAGCGCCCTGGGGTGGAGGAGTGGGGAGGGAGGTGTGGGGACGTTGGGGCATGGGACGGGTTTGGCTGCACTGCCGTGACTCGCGCACTGGAGTCACCCGACACTGACAGCAGCGCCCTGGGGTGGAGGAGTGGGGAGGGAGGTGTGGGGACGTTGGGGCATGGGACGGGTTTGGCTGCACTGCCGTGACTCGCGCACTTGAGTCACCCGACACTGACAGCAGCGCCCTGAGTGGAGGGGAGGAGAAGAGAGGGGAAGGGGGAAGAGGGGGAGCGGGGGAGGGGGGGAGGGAGGGAGAGGATGCTGGTTGTTGATGACCCCCGACCCGAGAGCCACTATTCGCGCGCACTTGAGTCACCCGACACTGACAGCAGCGCCCTGGGTGGAAGAAGTGGGGGCGGAGTGGGGACGCGGAGGCGTGGGGTGCTGCGGCATGGGGAGGGCTTGGCTGCCACGGCCGTGCGTGACATGCGCACTGGAGTCACCCGAGACTCACAGCAATGCTGACATGCGCACTGGAGTCACCCGAGACTCACAGCAATGCTCTGAGGGGGAAGAGATGGGGGGAGATGTGGGGACGTGGGGGCGTGGGGTGCGTTGGGGGGGCATGGGGTGGGCGTGGCACGGATGGCTGTGACGCGCGCACTGGAGTGACCCGAGACTGACAGCGGAGGAGGTGGGCGGTGTGACATAAATCTCTGATGTCCTACTGCACTTGCAGCAGAAGAGGGCGGGTGGTGCACAGATGTGGCGCAATGTGTTGGCTCCTACTCACTATGTGCTCTGGAACGCCTCAACCGTCACTATGACTCTCAGTTTAGTTTTGCACCGCATAAAATTGTTAAGGCGCCTCAAAAGTCGCCTCCAACGGACCTGGAGTTGGGTGAGTAGTCGAGTGCGTTGGAGGGGAGTGACGCATCTGGAGTCGGGTGTAACGAAGACCAGATGCGCCACACCCTCCCCCCCACCCCCCCATCCACAGTCCCCTCATTGTTCGCCGCGCTGCCACATCTCCAGGCGCTAATTCTCAAGGCCCCTCGATTGCAGTGCTGTGACGCACCTGGCCTCAGTCAACGCACCTGGCCTCAGTCAACGCACCTGGCCTCAGTCAACGCACCTGGCCTCAGTCAACGCACCTGGCCTCAGTCAACGCACCTGGCCTCAGTCAACGCACCTGGCCTCAGTCAACGCACCTGGCCTCAGTCAACGCACCTGGCCTCAGTCAACGCACCTGGCCTCAGTCAACGCACCTGGCCTCAGTCAACGCACCTGGCCTCAGTCAACGCACCTGGAGTTGGGTGAGAAGTCAAGTGCCGTGACGAATACCAGGTGTGCCCCCACCACTCTCTGCCGTACACTCAGTGTGCGTGCATCCACGATAAACACATTGCCCTCTGGGGTGCCCCTGTGGATAGGGACGCACACACAGCACAGACAGCAGAGACAGCAGACAGAACAGAGAGGGACATGAGAGTAGCAGGAAGACCAGGTGCGCCCCCACCACGCTCTGCCTCACACTCAGTGTGCGCGCGTCCACTATGAGCACGTTGCCCTCTGGCGCTCCCCTGTTGGTATGGTAGGATGGGAGGGACGCACACAGCAGCACAGCACACACGGCACAGACAGGGACATGAGAATAGCAGAAAGACGAGGTGCGCCCCCACCACTCGCTGCCGCACACTCAGCGTGCGCGCGTCCACTATGAACACGTTGCCCTCTGGCGCTCCCCTGTGCATGGGAAGAGTGCACACAGCAGCAGAGAGCACAGAGAGCAGCGCACAGCAGCGACAGAGACATGAGAAAGCAGAGGGAAGAGGATGAAAGGGCGTGAGATCACTGCTGTGGCGTGAGCACACCAGCGACTTCTCACGCCTCTTTCACTGCCAATATGTTGTTCCCGGCCCGGGCGCTCCTCTGCGGATGGGTGTGTGCAACGCTCCAAGAGGAAGGCGTTGGGTGAGAAGTCGACGAGGGAAGCAGGGGGGGTGGGGAGAAGAGAAGAGAGGAGGGAGGAGGGGGGAGGATGTAAGGAGGGTGGTGAATTGAATGGGGATGGAGAAACCAGAAGGAGGACATAGGATAAAAAAGCGGGGAATACAGGGTAAGGAGTGGAAAAAGCGTGGGCATTCCTCAAGCGGCCGAGGGATACGAGAGCAAACGGACTCACAACGAAGGGAAAAAATAGAGCGAAATAAGGGGGAGAACTGAATAGGTGGATGGGAAGAGAATGAGAAGCTGAGTGACGTTGGCCAGCAGGGGAGAAGAGGGAACGGGTAGAACGGGGGATGAAGGGGGAGGGGACGATACAGGAAGACAGGGATGGAGCACAGAGGTGGGCGAGATTCGACATGGCAAGGAAGCAGAAAGGATTATGGCAAGCAGCACACTTAGTGAGAAACCTACGTGGCAAGCCAGCAACCTACGTGGCAAGCCAGCAACCTACGTGGCAAGCGAGCAACCTACGTGGCAAGCCAGCAACCTACGTGGCAAGCAGCGTGGAGTCGGGGCTGAGAGCGAAGGCAGAGATGGGGTCGTTGTGGATCTTCCTCACTGCTACCCGCTTCCATGCTGCCGTCTCCCACACCACCACCCACCCCTTGCCACCTGCCGTGTAGGGGAGATGGGAGGGGGAGTGAGAAAGGGGGGGTTGAGAAGGGTTGAGATGGGTTCACCCACTAGAGCACTCTCGCGCCGCCACGCTGCCATCTCCCACACCATCACCCATCCCTTGCCACCTGCCGTGTAGGGGAGACAGGAGTGCAAAGTAAGGAGCAGGGGCGCAGCGGAAGAGGTTGGTTTGGTGGGATGGTGGGACTAAGTGAGAGAACCACGGTCAACTTCTGAGTCACCTCAAAAGTCACCTAAAAAACCCCAGTCAACAACAGCAAGAAACAACAAAATGTGCTCCTCTTACCCTCGCCCTTCCCTCCTGCTCACCCTCCCTTCCCCTCCATCCCTCTCACCCATAAAAGCGGTGGAGTATAGCAGCGGCTTGGTGGGGTCTCCCTCACCCTTCAACCCCCTTCTCTACTCACCTCTCTTCCCCCCATTCTCACCCCTCCCTCCCCCTTTCCTCTCACCCTTGACACAGGTGGAGTAAAGTAGCAGCTTGGTGGGGTCTCGAGAGAACCGACACATTCCAAAGCGCGCCCCGCCCTGAGGGGTGTGGGGAGGGAGAAGGAGGGAGGGAGAAAGAAAGGGAGTATGTGAGCAGGTGGAGTAGAGTAAGGGCTTGGTGGGGTCTCGGGAGAACCGACACAACCCAAAGCGCGCCCCGCCCTGGGGTGGGATGGGAGGGAGGGAGAAACAAAGCGAGAGCATGAGTGAAGAAGAGAGTGAGAGAAGATGTGGGGCGTAAGAGAGAGGGCGTACAGTGAGAGAGAGGCAGGAGAGAGGTTGCTAGCTACAGGGCATAGAAAGACGTTGAGAGGGAAGGGTGAGAGCGTGAGGGATAAAGAGCAGCATGACAAGTGCCGTATACAAAGGGAGCACCATGGTGGGTCAAGTGCAGTGCCCCTGCCCCGCCCTGGAATAACAGCGGATTACAGCCCATGGCATAGCAGCCGTTTGGCAGGGCGAGCGCAAGAGGGCAAACAGTGGTGTCGTGTGGACTTCTGTGCGATGACGACGCACGCCTTAGGTTCCAAGCCCAGCCAGTAACACTTTCTACGGCCACCAAAAAGTATGGTAACCACTTGAGGCAGCGGTGGGCAGTGGCGCTCCAGCCAAGCTAACGCAGACCATGGGAAAGCCAAGCTAACGCAGTTCATGGGAAAGCCAAGCTAACGCAGTAGAAGCGTCCCTCCCACAAACAGCAGCTGACCCATTGCCCGTCGCCCATTGCCCCGTCGCCCATTGCCCCGTCGCCCATTGCCCCGTCGCCCATTGCCCCGTCGCCCATTGCCCCGTCGCCCATTGTCCCGTCGCCCATTGCCCCGTCGCCCATTGCCCCGTCGCCCATTGCCCCGTCGCCCATTGCCCCGTCGCCCATTGCCCCGTCGCCCATTGCCCCGTCGCCCATTGCCCCGTCGCCCATTGCCCCGTCGCCCATTGCCCCGTCGCCCATTGCCCCGTCGCCCATTGCCCCGTCGCCCATTGCCCCGTCGCCCATTGCCCCGTCGCCCATTGCCCCGTCGCCCATTGCCCCGTCGCCCATTGCCCCGTCGCCCATTGCCCCGTCGCCCATTGCCCCGTCGCCCATTGCCCCGTCGCCCATTGCCCCGTCGCCCATTGCCCCGTCGCCCATTGCCCCGTCGCCCATTGCCCCGTCGCCCATTGCCCCGTCGCCCATTGCCCCGTCGCCCATTGCCCCGTCGCCCATTGCCCCGTCGCCCATTGCCCCGTCGCCCATTGCCCCGTCGCCCATTGCCCCGTCGCCCATTGCCCCGTCGCCCATTGCCCCGTCGCCCATTGCCCCGTCGCCCATTGCCCCGTCGCCCATTGCCCCGTCGCCCATTGCCCCGTCGCCCATTGCCCCGCCGCCCATTGCCCCGTCGCCCATTGCCCCGTCGCCCATTGCCCCGTCGCCCATTGCCCCGTCGCAATTGCTGGACAGCAGAGTGCAGGGCACTCTGGCATACAACCTTAGGCCACCCCCCTCAGGGCATACCTTACGCCAGCCACCACCCTCAGGGCATACCTTACGCCAGCCACCCCCCTCAGGGCATACCTTACGCCAGCCACCCCCCTCAGGGCATACCTTACGCCAGCCACCCCCCTCAGGGCATACCTTACGCCAGCCACCCCCCTCAGGGCATACCTTACGCCAGCCACCCCCCTCAGGGCATACCTTACGCCAGCCACCCCCCTCAGGGCATAACTTACGCCAGCCACCCCCCTCAGGGCATACCTTACGCCAGCCACCCCCCTCAGGGCATACCTTACGCCAGCCACCCCCCTCAGGGCATACCTTACGCCAGCCACCCCCCTCAGGGCATACCTTACGCCAGCCACCCCCCTCAGGGCATACCTTACGCCAGCCACCCCCCTCAGGGCATACCTTACGCCAGCCACCCCCCTCAGGACAGCAGCCCAGTACTTGCAGGTGGTGATCTCCGCACGGCGAGGCAGTCACAGGCTGTTGTGTAGGTACCTAGCGTTGCTTGGAAGTTGGAACCCTCCTCACTCTCTCTTCGTCTGCTGCCACTACACTCACCACTAGCTTAGCTGCTGATCTTCCCCTCAAAGCAGTCAGTTAGTTCTGTTTGTCCTTGGCTTACACGTGCTGTAACGTTTATTATATTCGATGAGAAGGACCGCCTGACAGAGTGTCGTGTGCCATTGTTTGTAACGAGGTGACTTTTGAGTCGACTCAGAAGTCACCACGTGCTGTAACGTTTATTATACTCAATGAAAAGGACCGCCTGAAAGAGTGCAGCGGGTGCTGACCTCAGCAATGGAGAGGGTGGCAAGAGCTGTCCCCTTGCGCACGCTCCACACCCTCAGAGGGCCCGCGTCCGCCGTGGTGGCCACTAGTGAGCTGTCCAGACTGGCGCGGTGCAGGGGAGGAACGGGGGGAGGCAGATGGGGTTCTTTGGAGAAAGGAGCATGCGGGGGGAAGGGGGTGGGAATGCCTGCCGTGGTGGCCACTAGTGAGCTGTCCAGACTGGCAGGTGCAGGGAAGGAAGGGGGGCGTGGGGGGTGTTGGGGGGAAGAGCGGGGGATGGGGAGAGGGGGAGATGGGGAGAGGGGGAGATGGGGAGAGGGGGGGATGGGGAGAGGGGGAGATGGGGAGAGGGGGAGATGGGGAGTGGGGGGGATGGGGAGAGGGGGAGATGGGGAGAGGGGGGGATGGGGAGAGGGGGAGATGGGGAGAGGGGGGTCTGCTGTGGTGGCCACCACCAGTGAGCCGTCCAGACTGGCGCGGTGCAGGGGAGGTGGGGTTGGGGCAAGGCGGGGGTTTGAGAGGGGAGGAGAGGGGAGAGGGCGGGGAGGGGAAGGGGAGGAGAGGGGAAAAAGGGGGGAGGGACTAGAAGCCCATCCCCCTGGGGTGGTGTACAGTGTGCTGGGTGTGCTGGGTGTGCTGGGTGTGGGTGGTGTACAGTGTGCTGGGTGCGGGTTAAGAGACCCATGACATGGGTTGCAAGGGGACGTATTTGACATGCACATCTCTCAGGGTGGACATGGCAACTTCCACGCTGGGCCATCCAGCATGCCCGCCCACAGCACCATCCCGCATGTCCGCCCACAGCACCTCACACACACATGCAGACCAACTTTCTATCCTTTCAGCATGGAACGTACTTAATATCGGCGTCTCGGAGGGAGGAGGTGTGGGCACGAGGCACGTCCATCAGAACGGCCGTGCTGGGCCACTCAAACACGCGCACACGCCCATCCTCACTCCCCGCCACCACTCTGCACCCATCCGCACTGAACAGCAAACACTTCACCTCCGCCGCCGTCTCCCCCTCCTCCCCTTTCCCCTCCTCCTTTGCCCCCGTCCCGTTGCCCCCCTCGCCCGCACCTTTCCCTTCTCCCCCGTCTCCCTCCTCCGCCCCCTCCCCCTCCCCCGCCCCCTCCTCCGCCCCTGGTCCCAGCCATTTGAGGCGCGTGTCGCTCGGCACCAGCTGCAGCTGCTCCAGAGGCACCGCCTCCTCGCTCCCCCTTCTCGCCGCAACCACCTCCTCTCCCCTCTCCGCCCCTGCGCCTCCCTCCTTCCCCTCCGCTTCCTCTGCCTTGCCTGCTGTGCCGCCCTCGCCCTCCCCTGGCGTCACTTGGAAGAGACTGGGCTAGCGGGCGGGGCGAGGGAGGGGGGACAGATGGAACAAGGTAGGGGGGAGAGGAAAAGAGAGGGGGGCGGGGGGGAGACGGGGATTGGAGTGGGGAGGAGGGGAGACGGGAGGAGGGAAGAGGGAGGAGGGGAGAGGGGGAGATGCGTTGGTTAGTAGGAACGGTGATGGGCGAAGGAGAGTAAGAATGCGTCACTTGCAACAGGTTGGTGTAGCATGCGCGAGGGGAGCTAGCGGCACGCGGGACTGTGAGCAGGAGGGGGAAAGAAGGTAGAGAGCAGGCGGAGAGCAGGAGAAAACAAGGGGCCGGAAAAAGGGGAGAGAAGGCCAAGAGAAGGGGGAAAGAAGGGGGAGCAGGCGGAGAGAAGGGTGAGGAATGGGGAGAGCGGGGGGGGGGGAGAGGTGGAGAGGGGCGGGGGGGTCACCGGCAGGCGTCAGCGAAGGCAGCAATGAGCCCGTCGCCGTTGGGGTGGGCGGTGATCTTGAACGCGGGGTTGGCTCCCGTTGACAGGCTGAACACCTGCCCCACAAACACAGTGCGGTGCAGTGCGGTTCATGGCGGTACAATGATGCGGGAGGGGAGGCAAGGCGAAGAATGAGGAGAGTGCTGTTGAGGGGCCTCGAGGATTAACACATGGACAGGGGGCAGTGGAGGCACGGCGAGCAGTGAGGGGATTGCGGACGGGGGGCAGTGGAGGCACGGCGAGCAGTGAGGGGATTGCGGACGGGGGGCAGTGGAGGCACGGCGAGCAGTGAGGGGATTGCGGACGGGGGGCAGTGGAGGCACGGCGAGCAGTGAGGGGATTGCGGACGGGGGGCAGTGGAGGCACGGCGAGCAGTGAGGGGATTGCGGACGGGGGGCAGTGGAGGCACGGCGAGCAGTGAGGGGATTGCGGACGGGGGGCAGTGGAGGCACGGCGAGCAGTGAGGGGATTGCGGACGGGGGGCACGCCATGTGACAAGCGCGGGGTGGGCGCTAATGGGGCATTCGTTGGCGCAGCCGGGCGGAGATGCAACGCGGGGGAGTGAGCGCAGAGGCGCGGGGCGCTGGGAGGGGGCAATGGATGAACGACGGACGGAACTAGCGCGCACAAACGACGGAAAGGGTGGTCGATGAGAATGGATCTGCGGAGGGCACGAACGACGTCCACGTGTCATGCAATGCCACGTCACCTCCGAGAGCTCATCGGCGGCGAAGCTGTACTTGCAAGCGATGATCTTGCTCTTGATGCCGTGCCGCCCCGCGCCGCCGCCCCCCGCCAGCACCACCAGCCCCTCCTCGCCCTGCGCGCCCGCCCTGGGGCCTTTCGTGGGCGCCCACGCGCCGCAGAAGAGCGGAAAGCCGAACTGCTTCTTCACCCTCGAATCGTCGGGCCGCGCCGGAGCCATTCTGGTTGGTCGTTGCAAGAAATTTTCGTGGTGCCGTCTGGTCTAATCGCTCTGAAATAGATGCTCGTAGGAATCAGGTGTGCAATAGTGCATACAGGTCCTTGGAGATGTGTGGTCAAGCTCATACGCCATTTGGGACTCTTCAGGATGACATCACTAAATCGGCTGCAAGAATCTCAGAATCAACTCCTTATCCAAGCGCCAATACAATGTGGGTGGTCAAGCACACAGCATTGGATTGTGAAAATTAATTTCACTGAAACTGTATCCAAATTTGTTTTTTGGAAACAAAATGTATTTTGTGCATTTGATTCTGGACGTGGTCTATTATGTGATTTAAATCGTGAGAACTACATTCTGTATACGAAGAATGGATGACTGGGAATCACCTTTATGCTACCATGACACTGTAAAACGGTTCATGGAAGGCTGTCGTTTTGTTGCTTCAGTGCTGCGTGTGCCCTGTCAGACTTGCCAGAACACCCATGTTCATCTGAACCAGTCCATCTGGGCCCGACAGGTGGCGCCGCGCTGTCTGACCCGGGTCAATCTGATCAGCGTGCGACACAGCTGACTGCATCCCCGCCGTACGCGAAAAGGGCGGGAGACTGGAGCTGGACCCGGCGACGACGCGTGTGACGCTCAACCCAACCTCGCCAATTGGCCAAGCCCCCCTGCGACAAGCTCAAAGCCGCTGCGCACTTTTCTGTCTCAATGCCACAGCTTGAAGCGCGCCTCGGCTGGAAATTGGACTTCGGAAATCGAGATTCGGGATGGAGAGAGCAGCACCAGTGGGTGCCACGGCCACCACCACCACCACCCACCCCAAACTGCGAATTCAGGCAGCGAGTGGGAGAAAGGTGGGGTGTAGTGAAGTGGAGATGGGGCAGGCGCGGAGGAAAGGTTCTAGGAAGCCCGCCACTGAAATTCATCAATCCCATGGCGAGAGTGGTAATGCGCGACTCATTCTGGTCAGCTACTGCCATGCTAACCACCTGCTAGCCTGCTGTCCCTGCTAAATGCCGCTGTTCTCAGCGCTCTCCCCGAGCCTTAGCGCAGCGCAGAGGCTGTAATACGTAGCTTAGAGTGACTACAGTCACCGACACAGCTGCAGTCAAAGCGACGGCGCGAGCGAATCTTTGGATTGTGTGACCTCTCGTGGCAATTGCTTAGCCCCAGGCGCCTCTCCTTAGGGGTGTTAGGTGTTGCTGTGTGATTTCCTCTCGTTTCGTTCTTCTATCTCTATTCCCCGCCTGCAGCGCACGTCCGTCGCGCGACCATCGCTTGCGTCTCTCTCCTCGCAGACCCGCCTATTCCTGATCGTGGTCGCAGAGCTATCCCGAGTCCGAGTAACCAAAGCAGCAGAACTATTCCGTGACTCCCACTGAGCGGTTCTAAGAACCGCACCTGTGGTGTCTGAACAAAAGTTCCATGATTCACCTTCCGGCAGAGTAGAGGGTGCTCATGTTAACTTGCAACGACGGCAACAATCAAGTTGCCTGTCACGCCCCATTCTTAGCTTCAAGCCAGTAGCGCTGAGAGAGATTAGACGCGGTACCCGCAGGACTTGGGCCGTCGCGGCCCGCTGACGAGCTGACGACTCAATACCAGAGGGATTAGATTTTGCGGTTGCCGACACCTCGACTACCCATCCACACCTCAATTGCCCAACCATTGCGGGTGTCGATCGCACAGTGCGTGTGCTGAGGCTTCGCTGTCGCACCAGAAAAAGGAAGGAATATTAGAATGCGCTTTATAACGAGGCGAGTTAAGTAGGTGCAAATCTGAGCTGCCCGTTTGCTATTCAATTATCGGTGAGACGCAAGCTAGCCGTTGGCGATCATTTTGTGAAGAAATTCGAGTCATTTCAGCAGTGTTGTGACAAGAGGCAGGGACGATGCTACAGGGTGACTGTATCGAGCGGCAGCCGGACCACATAGTGGTAGCGGTGACACTATCGGAGGAAGGCAGAGGGCTCATCCAATGGACGATCAGCCGATGCCAGCCCGGTGACGTCATCTACGTACTCCACGTCATCGTGCCGCCCACCGACGGTACGCGCTACTAATAGACCAGTCTATCAGCACACCCACACTCGTCCATTTCGTCCTTTTGCGCGTGTTGCGAGCATCTGCTACCGTAGATTGCGCCTCCTTCATGAATGTCTGCCTGCTTCTGAATTCGGCGTTGTCGCTTGTAGGTGCGCAGTTTTACCGCCCACACCTAACCGCTCGACGGCTAGTCAATATGCGCGCACCCGCGGGCGGAAACCCCACACTTGCCAGCCGTCTCTCATTTCCGCAATTTATTTCCGCCCGTCATTTCCACACTTGCCACCCGTCTCCGCATCTCATTCCCGCCTCGCACTCTTTCGTTTCCCCGCTTCCTCCCGCTCCCTTTCCCCCTTTTCCCGCCTCCTGCCGGCGCATTCCGCCAGGCGCGCGCCCGCCGCGGCTGGAGGAGATGCGCGAGGACCAGCGGCGGAAGCTGGAGATCTTCTCCGCGCTGCTGTGGGGATTCGAGGCGCTCTGCGACGAAAAGAAGGTGCGTACGCGTTATAGCGTATCCTGACACTTCACTGCAACGAACGATCGGCGTCAGTGCACGACGCGTGGAAGCAGCAGGTGATGCTATGCCCCCCTCTGTCCCCTCCCCCTTCCAGTCCCCTTCCCCTTCACCTTCCCGTCCCCGTCCCCCTCCCCTTCCTTGTCCCTCTCCCCCTCCCATTCCCGTCCCCTCCCCCTCCAAACCCCCTGCCTTCCCCCCCACACAGGTGGCGGCGTCGGTGCGCGTGGTGCACGGCGCGTGCGAGCAGCAGGCGGTGGCGGACGAGGCGAGGCTGCTGGGGGCCACGCGGGTTGTCGTGCACAAGGACGGGTAAGTGGTGCACAAGGACGGGTGAGCGCGGGGAAGGGGGGATGAAGACGGGTGAGGGGAGGACGGGTGAGCGCAGGGTGCGCGAGGAAGGGGTGCACGGCGGAAGAGAGGATGGGGGAGGAGAGGGCGGAAAGGAGAGGAGAACACGGGTGGGAAGGCCGTTGGGGTTGCAGGGGGGGTGCCATCTCACCCTCCCTCTCACTCACTAGCACAGTTGTTTTGCGCCGTTTTGCTTTCGCTGCCTCTCTATTACCACTACCACTGCCTCTCTCTCCGCTTTGCCCCTCGCCGCTTCACTAACGTCCGCTCTTCCCACTCCCCTGTCCCCCCTCCCCATCCGCCCACCATTCCCTGCGTTCCTTACCGTGCGCGCGCTCGCGCTCCGCTTTCCGCCATCTCCCGCGGTATCCCCAGCATGGGGCGGCGCTTCTCCCCGCGCGCGCTGGAGCAGCGCCTTCCGCCCGCCTGTATGGTGCTCTTCGTCGGCGGGGGGCGCCTCGCGCTCGCGAAGCGCGGGAAGGGCGGAGTAGGCGCGGCTGGAGGTGCAGCGCAGGGGAAGAGCGCGGGGAACAAAGCAGCAGGTGAGTGCACGGGCGGACTGGTGCGTGCGGCTTTCACTCTCACCGCCTCTCAACTCCTGTCCCTCTCACCAACCCTTTCTTGATTCTCAAATTTCGCTTTTCATTTCCTCCTTCTCACCTCCCTCACACCCCCTCTCATAATCTCCTCCTCTCCCCCTTCGTGCGCTCAATTTTCATGTGCGCGTCCGCAGCGGGTGACGCTACGCCCAACGGCCACCGCCCGCTTTACATCCCCCTTATGCGCCTCTTCGGTAGCAGCAAGGACCGGGACGGGTACAGGGACGAGGGCGGCGTCGCCAAGGGCGGTGCCGGTGAGAAGGCGAAAGTCGGCGCGAGGGATAGCGTGAGGGAGAGGGAGAGGGAGCAGGGAAGGGAGAGGGAGGTGAAGGCGGCAGGCGCTGCCTCCTCGTCTTCTGCTCGCTCCTCCAACCCATACCACGGCAGCAGCAGCAGCAGCAGAAGTGCGAGCGGTGCAGGAGCGTCGCCATACCCCACGGCACGCAATGCCATGCATGCGAGCACCATGAGCCAGGGGCCATCCATAATGGGTAGCGGCATCAGCCGCAGCGGACCCCTCTCGTACCACCATGCTGCAGGGGGCGGTGCTGGGAGCATGAGCATGAGCAGCCGACAAGACCAACCAGCAGCAGCGGCGGGGGCGAATGGGGGAGCGCGCAGGTTGGCGCAGCTGCCGCGGTCCAACTCGCTCACGAGCCTGCGCCAGCACCCCGCCTTGCATACCGCCAAGCCGTCCATTGCTCAGCGCGCGCTCTCCCTGCTGCAGGGGGACGTCTCCTGTGAGCACCCTCCGCTTCTTCGTCCCTCCTTAGCTGTCCTGCCTTGCTATCCCACTCTCTCCCACACTCTCCCATTCTCTCCCACTCCCTCCTACTGTCTCCCACTGTCTCCCACTCTCTCCCACTCTCTCCCATTCTCTCCCACTCTTTCCCACTCTCTCCCACTCTCTACCGCTCTCTCCCACTCTTTCTCACTCTCTCCCACTCTCTCCCACTCTCTCCCACTCTCTCCCACTCTTTCCCACTCTCTCCCACTCTCTACCGCTCTCTCCCACTCTTTCTCACTCTCTCCCACTCTCTCCCACTCTCTCCCACTCTCTCCCATTCTCTCCCACTCTCTCCCGCTCTCTCCCGCTCTCTCCCGCTCTCTCCCATTCTCTCCCACTCCCTCCCATTCTCTCCCACTCTCTCCCGCTCTCTCCTGCTCTCTCCCGCTCTCTCCCGCCCTCTCCTCCTGTAAGGACCCACCGCTTTCTCGTCTACTGCAACACCCTCCTGTTCTTTCTTCCTCTCTCATCGTTCATATTTTTCTGAAACCCCCTCTCGCTTTTGCCACTCCCGTTCCTATATCGCTCTCCTCATCTCTCTCTTCTCCCCTCCTCTCGCCTCGCGCCGCCTCGCCTCTCTCCCCTTTCCCAGTTCCCCGCAGGCCATTCGCCCCGGGCAAGGCGCGCAGCGTCTGCAGCTCCCCGCGTGCCTCCTCCCCCCACGCGTCCTTCTTCTCCTCCTCCTTCTCCGCCTCCCGCCCCTCCTCCCCGCGCGCCTCCCGCCCGTCTTCCCCCCGCTCCTCCGCCTTCAACCCGTTCTTCCCCTCGTCCCCGCGCTCATCCCGCCCCTCCTCCCCGCGCGCCAGCGCAGGCAACCCGCAGTCCTCCCCCTTCATCTCCCCCCGCGCCACCGCAACCAATCCCTTCTTCCCCCCCTCCTTTGACCCGTCGTCCCGCGCTGCTGCCACCGACGGCAGGTTGGGGCAGCGACAGCAGGGGCAGCAGGGGCAGCAGCAAGGTGGGGGGCAACAGCGGCAACAGCAGAGGCAGCAGCAGGAGCAATGGGGGAGCAGAAACGCGGAACACATGCCGAAGTGGCAGCTGCTGCGGTCGTCCATCACAGGCAAACAACAGCCTCAGCCACACATGCATCAGCAGCAGGGGCAGCAGGCGCAGCAGCAGGCGCAACAGCAGCAGCAGCAGCATTTGAGTGACGGGTCACGCTCGTTTGAGTCACAGTCGGCCGCAGTCACGCCCAGGCACATGTGCGTGCAGCGGTCAGCTTCGTTTGCGGGCGTGAGCGCGGTAGCCGCGACCCTGGCGCAGCAGCTGGGGTGGGAGCACGAGGCGGAGGCGGCGGAGGAGGAGGAGGAGCGCAAGGCGCGCGAGCAGGTGCGCAAGGGACGAGCGGTGGCGCAGCACGGGGAGGAGGGGCCGCGGGGCGAGGGGCAGCAGAATGCGCAGAGCGAACTGAACGCGCGACTGGTGAAGCTTCAGCAGCAGCAGATGGAGCAGAGTAAGGGAGGGGTGAGAGGAGGGGAAGGGAAGGTGAGCTTCTATGTGGGTCAAGGGCAACAGGAAGAAGCGATGGTAAGAGCTGATATAGCCAGTGCTGCTCGTGATGCTGCCACCGCTGACCGTGCTGGCCGTGGTGCAAGTGCTGACCGTGCGGACCGTGCTGACCATGCTGAAGGCGTTGACTGCGTTGACTGGGCCAACCGCTGTGACGTGGAAACAGCATCCTCCTCCTCTTCGTCTGACGATTCTTCTGAGCGCGGGGATGCCAATAACGCGGATGGATTGGATGATGCGATACAGGGTACAGTGCACCACTGTAGCTTCCCGTCTATGGACGCCTCTGATGCCGCCCAGCCTGTTCTCGAGTCGTTCTGCTCTGACATATCTGCCACGTCAGCTGCCACGTCATCCTCCGCGTTCTCGTCTCGTTCAGGGGCGTCCTCCCATTGGACGGACATCCCCAGTAGCGGCTCCCTCTCAACCCCAGACTGCCACGTGTCACAGCAATGCCACCCTGGGAACAACGTCAACAAGAACAACAGCAACAGCAGCAGCATAAAAAAGGGCAGAAGCACCGGCTATCTCTCAGATTCTGCCCTGATTCCCAGGGCACCTGGCGCTAAGCTAGCAGCACCTAGAAAATCACCTGAAGCAGCACCTGGAGCATCAGGGACACCAGGAGTCAGAGAATCAAGCCAGAACGCGGCAAGCTCACGAGGGAGAGAGGGTCTGGGCGGGCGCAGGGCAGCCTTGGAGCCTGTGTGTAGTAACCAGATGCGGGCCGCAGGACGAGGAGGGGAGGCCGCGAAGGGGGAGGTTAATCCAGGGCAGGAGAATCAAGGGCAAGAGAGAAAATGGCAGGATGGGAAGGGGCACGGGTTGGTGGGAGAGGGGGACAAGCAGGAGAGGGAGGAGGCAGGGGAGGGTAAGGAGGACGCCAGGTGTCCTGTTCTGGTTGGCCGGTTCCCCGTGCACAGGCCGAGGCAGAGGGCGGGCGTGGGCGGCACAATGGGCGGCTCAGTGGGCGGGTGGAGTGGCGGGTCCGGGCGGCGGCTATCGGTGCTGAATAAGACAAGAGATCCTCAGAGCGTGAGGAGAATGGAGTCTGAGAGTGAGAGTGAGAGGGATAGGGAGAGGGAGTCGGGGAGAGTGAGGAGAGAAGAGAGTGGGGGTGGGAGTGAGAGGGGCATGCGTGCACCTGCTGCGTGTTTGATGGCTGATGGTGGGAGTGAGAGGGAGGGAGGCGAGAGCGCGAGGGACAGGGAGTGGGGGTTTGTGGTGCGAGCAGCAGGAGTGGGGGAGAAGGGCAAGGAGAGGGAGAATGAAGGGGAGAGTGCAGAAGAGGTGAGTGTGGAAGGGGAGGATGAGGAGGGGACTGAGAGGGACGATGGAAGGGAGGGAGATGCGGAGGAGAGAGTGAGTGATAGGAGGAGTAGCGAGGCGAGGAGTGAGGGGAGAGAGAGTCAGGAGAGAGTGCAGGAGACGAGCAACAAGGAGGGGGAGGGAGGGAGGAGAGCAGACAGCAGGGAGGTAGAGAGCAGTACAGAGGGAGGAACTGACCTGCTGCCGTGTGTGCGGCAGCAGTCGCTGCCACTCAGCCACAGCTGCAGCTCTCTGGTGCCCTCACGGCGATACTTCTCAGATGGGGGAGAGGAGGCGCGGAGAGAGGGCAGGAGGGGTGCTCCCACAATGCCCGCCATGCCGCAGAGAGCAGCATTAGGAGCGGAAGCGGGGGATCATGGAGGGGATGGGTGGACTGCTCCGGGGCTGGGCAGGAGTAGCAGTGGCGGCGGCGGTGGCGTTGCTGTGCGTGCAGCAGCACTTGCCTCGCCGACCCCTGGCGTGCGGCGGAGCTTCTCCTTCACTCAGGGCGCCAGGCATGCAGCTGCGGGGGCAGTGGCAGCACGGGCAGAAGCAGTGGCGGCAGCAGCACGAGCAGTGGGCGGTGGGCGAGGGGAGGATGGGCATGGGGCGGCGGGCGTGGGGGGAGCAGGGAGCGGGGGAGTGATGGGGGGAGCGGGGGTGTGGGAGGGGCCGTGGAGGAAGCTGCAGTGGCGCGAGGTGGAGCAGGCGACTGATGGGTTCGCCACACGTGAGTGCTGGGGAAGGGAGAGGAGGGGGAGCGTGATGTGGTGATGGGGTTGTTGCATGTGCGTAAGGTTATATGTAAATGTGCTCGTGCTTGCGCCGCGCCTGTGTACGCTTGATGTGTGGTGTGTTCAAGCTCACTCATGGCTACGCATGCACAAGGAGGGTGAGGTGAGCGCACTGAACCCTCCCAATTGTCTCTGCCCACCTCTCTCACGATACCACCTTCTCAATTCCCTCACTATCCATCCGCCCCTCCTCTCCCCCATGACCCATGCGCTCAGGGAACCTTCTGGGAACGTGCGGGGGCTACAGCCGAGTGTATCAGGGGCGGCTGCCGGGCGGGCAGCAGATAGCTGTGAGGCGCGAGATGCTCACCTGCCCCTCTGCTGCTGATGGTGATGGTGCTGATGGTGCTGCTGGTGGGGTTATTGCTGCTCGGCAAGGGGGGAGCCCACGTGGCAGCGTGCCTTTGGCTGCCGGGCGCGGGCTGAGCAGCGAGGTGGCGGCTGAGCTGGCGGTGCTGGCGACGCTGAGTCACCGCCACGTGGCACAGCTGGTGGGGGTGTGTGCGGAGAGAAGAGACGAGGTGGCACTGGTGTTCGAGCACATGGAGGGGGGCACCCTCGACTCTGCTCTCAGGGGGGACTCCGGTTCTTCTGCTACTGTAGCTGCTAACCCTGGTATGTGTTCACTGTCTTGAGACGTCTCAAGGGACGAGGTGGCGTTGGTGCTTGAGCACAGGAGGGGGGCACCCTCGAGTCTGCACTAAGGGGGAACTCTGGTTCTTCTGCTGCTGCTGCTGCTGCTGCTGCTGCTAATCCTGGTACGTATGCGCTATGGGGAGAGACGAGGTGGCGTTGGCGTTTGAGCACATGGAGGGGGGCACTCTCGACACGGCACTAAGGGGGGAATCCGGTTCTTCTGCTGCTGCTGCTGCTGCTGCTGCTGCCAACTCTGGTGAGCACTGGTGGTGGAGGGCGCCTTTGACACTGCTCTCAGGGGGGACTCTGGTTCTTCTGGGGATCTCACCCCTCAGGGCACCCTCCGGGGGCTGTGCTGCTGCTGCCAACCCTGGTATGCATGGATGGTGTAGAGCCGATGCTCCTGTGTATGAGCTCTTCTCCTTGCGCTGCTATGCCCCATCCATTCCTGCTGCCTCTCTGTGTGGTGGTGTGTTGGTAACGCCAGTCGTTTACGACCCCGTCCCCTCCCTCTCCCTCCCTTTCCTCCCTTCCACCATTTCCCTCGTCCCCCCCACCGTGCTCCTCTTTTTCTCTCGCACCTCCCGCATCCAATCAACTCCCCCTTCCCTTCCCCTCCCCCACAACTCTCCTCAGGCCCTCTCGCCTGGTCTGCTCGGCCAATGGTAGCGCACCAGCTGGCACTGGCACTGCACTACCTGCACGAGGGGGCGCCCCGGGCAGTGGTGCATCGCAATGTGCGGACGGCGAGTGTGATGCTAACGAGGGGCGGTGAGGCGAAGGTGAGTGTGATGCTAACAAGGGGCGGTGAGGCGAAGGTGAGTGTGATGCTAACGAGGGGCGGTGAGGCGAAGGTGAGTGCTCCTCCGTCATTTCCCTCTTCTCCGTCACAATCAGCAGCACGAGACCTACCCTCCCTCGTTTCTTCCACCTGTCATTCGCCCACTGCCCACCCTTGAAACCGTCCCCACGTAGGCTCGTCCCAGTACTGGCCATCACACTCCACTCCACCAGCTCTCAAAGTCCACGTTGGCTCCCTTTTGCTCCACTCCTCTTCCAACCGCACCTCACTCCTCCTCGCACCTCACCATCCTCTCCCCATCCCTTCCCCTCACCCCTCACCCATCGCCCCTCGTGCTTCACCAGCGATGCACCCAACGATGCGCCCATGCAAGCGAAGCACACTCCTCCGCGGCCTCACCCTCTCCCCATCCCTATCCCCCCACTCCCTCTCACCAGCTATCGGAGTTTGGGTTGGCTCTCTTCGCCGCTCCCAACGATGCGCCCATGCAAGTGCCGCTCGCAGGCACCTTCGGGTGAGTGCAGTGGGGGTGAAGTGACTGGATGCGTGTGGGCAAGGGGCGTGTTTTGAAAGAGGGATGATCATGTGGGGCCCGGCATGTGACTCTGTTTGTACTGGCTGTGGTTGTGGTAACGCCTCTGCTGTGCTTTACAGCGCCTCTGCTGTGCTTTACAGCGCCTCTGCTGTGCGTTACAAGCCACCTCTAATCAACTGCTTCCGAGTTTTCATGCGACCACGAGCACGGACGTGCTTGCACCAGCCCCCTCCCCAACCTGCCCATTTGTGTGCGCCAGCCCCCTCCCCCTTCCCCCCAGCTACATGGCACCAGAGTACCTATCGCACGGTGCAGTGCGATCAAGAACAGACGTGTTTGCATCAGCCCCCTCAACCCCCTCATCCACCCTGTCCTTTTGTCCGTCCCTACCCTCCTGTGTGACCTTCCAGCTACCTGGCGCCAGAGTACCTATCCCACGGAGCAGTGAGCACGGCCACGGACGTGTTTGCATTCGGAGTGGTGCTGCTGGAGCTGCTCTCAGGCCAGGCCCCTCCAACCTCCCCTCCTCTCCACCTCCCACCCCTTCCTGCCGTCCCCACCACCTGCAGCTACCTGGCGCCAGAGTACCTATCCCACGGAGCAGTGAGCACGAGAACGGACGTGTTTGCATTCGGAGTGGTGCTGCTGGAGCTGCTCTCCGCCCAGCCCGCTCACCACAACTCCCTCCATCCCCCCCGCTCCCCTTCCCCTGTGTGTGTCCCCAGCTACCTCGCCCCAGAGTACCTATCCCACGGAGCAGTGAGCACGGCCACGGACGTGTTTGCATTCGGAGTGGTGCTGCTGGAGCTGCTCTCAGGGCAACCCCCTGTTGATGACTCCCGCCCCCGCGGGATGCAGTGCCTTGTGCAATGGGTGAGCGTGGGTGGGTTGGGCTGGAATGGGATGGGATGGGGTGGGGTGGGGCGAAAAGTCGGCCCCCCGTTGACGACAGTCGGCCCAGCAGGCTGCAGTGCCTCGCTCAATGGGTGAATGTGGGTGGGGTGGGGTGGGGTGGGGTGGGGTGGGATGTGTTGGGGTGGGATGTGTTGGGGTGGGATGTGTTGGGGTGGGATGTGTTGGGGTGGGATGTGTTGGGGTGGGATGTGTTGGGGTGGGATGTGTTGGGGTGGGATGTGTTGGGGTGGGATGTGTTGGGGTGGGATGTGTTGGGGTGGGATGTGTTGGGGTGGGATGTGTTGGGGTGGGATGGTGTGAGAAGGCATCGTACTGGACTGTGTGTGTGTGGGAAGACATTCCAGAGCGTGATTTGGTAGTGCATGGCACGGCCTTGGATGGGCATGGCATGGCATGGTTTTGGTGCATTGGATGGGCCATGGTGGGAATAGTATTGGATGGGGTATGATTGTTATTGGGTGGACGGATGGATGTGAGTTGAATGAAGCTGCTGCCAGCAACAGCACAAGGGCAGCCCATGACCGATGACAGCACAAGGGCAGCCCATGACCGATGACAGCACAGACCCTCTTCCATGTTCAGCCATCTTCCTCCCAGCCCAGATAAACCCCCCACGTCTTCCCCAATTTCCACTGCTCGCCTTCTTTTCAGCCGCTCATTCCCTCACCGCCACCCGTGCACTTGCAGCCATGCCTCTCCTCCATTCCTCCATACCTGCATCCCTTCATCCTAATATCCCACCTCCTCCCACCTCCCTCCCTGCAGCCACGGCTCTCCTCCATTCCTCCATTCCTGCATCCCTTCATCCCTTATCCGTTCATCCTAAATTCCCACCTCCCTCCCTGCAGGCACGGCCACTGATAGAGGCGGGCAGGCTGCACGAGGTGGCAGATCCAGCCCTGCAGGGCGGATACCACCCGCACCAGTTCGCCCTGCTCGCCCGCACCGCCCTGCTCTGCACTCACAAGGACCCCTCACAGCGACCCTCCATGCTCCAGGTATGGCTTTCTCTCTCTGTCTCTCTCTTTCCCCATATGCTCGCAATGCTCACTTGGAATAATCCGACTGAGCACCCAATTTGCCTGCTGCAGTGCTTGGGTTTTGCTGCCTCTCCTCCATCCTGCCTCTCCTCCGTCCTGCATCTCCTCCATCCTGCCTCTGATCTCTTCCCCCACACAGTGCATATCCATGCTTCCGCCTTTCTCATGCAACCTTTCATGCTCCCATGCCATCCCATCCCATCACCCCCTCTCCTCTGCTCACCACAGGTGCTCCACCTCATAGACTCCGGCCCTCCTGGTAAAGCCCCCTCGCTCCCACACCCTACGACGCCGTTACATGTTCAGCCATCCCCCCCTCGCACTCGCTCCATTCTCGTGTAGACTCGCTTTGATCAGGTCACTGGATACGACGTATCTTCCACATCGGTGTACACAAGGGCTGGCTAGATTCATCAGCGTTTTAAGCATTTTCTCGATGCTGTTGTTCGGTAATGAACTGCATGCATAGGGCTGGCTTGCAAAACTCCATACAGAACAGTCTTTAGAAGAGTTTCATGGAAGGTATTGGTGGGCTGCATGTATTTTATATTAGAGCACATATTGCGATGGTGCTGGGCTTTTAGAGGATGCTGAGATATCCGTCCGTATGCTGGAAGTATTATGTAGGGGTTCATAAAGGTAGTGCGATTTTTACCCGTACTGAGCATAATGCCTTATGTACGGGTATGCCTTCTGTGCGATTCTGGGCGCCTAGATTGGAGGCAAGGAACTGGTAGTGCTGTGTGCACCTTATGGTATTTAGATTGCATGCCATCAGCGTTCAACGAGATTGCTGGCTTTGCGGCGTCAGTTGTCTCAGTAACAAAGATGCGCTTCGCATGGCCATGGAGAAAGGTGTCAAATCATATATGCATGTTTAGGTTATCTAGGCGGTATGGGGGTTAGCACTAGGGGGTACAACATTTTCTCTCGACATTCTTCTTGTACCCCCCCCTTGACCTAATCACACATTCATGCATAGATTTTAACATGGTATCTAGAGCAATAGTTCTTTAGGACCTAAGATTAGGGCCCACCCATTACCACGTTACCTGCCTTGCCTGCTGCCAGCGAGCCTCGGCTGCACGCGCGCGGTCCCTTTTTTTTTCCTAAGCAGCCCGCGCTCAGCCCGTTTAGGCCCGTTTAGGCCCGTTTTCGGCCCCGCGCGCCACGTCAGCCGCCCGCGCAGCCTGCCGCCGGCCCGCGCGTCGCGTAAGCCGCCCGCGCGCAGCCCTCTTAGGCCCTGCGCGCCGCGTCCGCCGCCCGCGTAGCCCGTTTTCGGCCCCGCGCGCTACGTCAGCCGCCCGCGCAGCCTGCCGCCGGCCCCGCGCGTCGCCTCCTCCGGTGACGGCGCGCTGCCCCCCGTCGCCCGTCACGGCGCCTGTGGGACCCGCGCGCTGCCCTGCACCAGCTACGCCGCCCCTGGAGCAGCCGCCCCTGGACCCAGAGCAACCGCCCTTGGCCCCTGAAGCAGCCGCCCCTGGACCCTCGAGCAGCCGCCCCTGGACCCAGAAGCGCGACCCTGACGGCGACCGTACCAGTCGTGCAGCTGCTGTGAGGTGAGAGGCACACGCGAACGAAGGCGGCTACTCCAAGGAAACCGCGCAACAGCAGACTCAGAACCCTCAGCGCCAGCACCCATAGCAGCTCCAGAAACTCCAGCGCTAGCACCCGCAGCAGCTCCAGAACCTCCAGCGCCAGCACCCTCAGCAGCTCCACAACCTCCAGCTCCAGCGCCACCAGCGCCAGCACCTCCAGCAGCTCCAGAACCTCCAGCTCCAGCACCCTCAGCAACTCCAGAACCTCCAGCAGAAACAACTCCAGTAGCAGAGTCACCAGCTCCAGCGCCTCCCGCAGCAGGGCCCCTAGCTCCAGCAGCGCGACCCTGACGGCCAACGTACCACTCACTCAGCTGCTGTGGGGAGAGAGGGAGACGACGACGAGAGTGCAGCGGCGAGGCACCAGCGGAGCGACTACGAAGACGGCCGCTCCAGGGAGACTGCTCACCAGACGCCTCAGCGCCCCCAGGCGCAGCACCCCTAGACTCAGTACCCCCAGGCTCAGCACCCCCAGACTCCTCACGCCCAGGCTCAGCACCTCCAGTCTCCGCACCTCCAGGCTCCGCACCCCCAGGCTCAGCACCCCCAGGCTCCGCACCCCCAGGCTCAGCACCCCCAGTAGCAGCACCCCGAGCAGGACCACCCTCAGTAGGACCTGAGGCACCAGTGACCTCAACCGGCGCCGTCAAGGGAGGAGGGTCTACCTGAGACACACCTGAAGGAGCAGGACCGGGAGCAGGGAGGGGGTCTACCTGGGGAGCACCTGGAGCGAGGAAGAGCGGCGGGGGGGGGAGAGGGGCAGTGCGGTAGGGAAAGAGACGGTAAAAGGGAACCGACTCGTCGAACGTGACGTCCTGAGAGGAGAAGACACGGCGCGAGGTGGGGTGGTAAAACTGCCAACCAGGCGCGTCAGGGACAAAGCCAAGGAAGACACAGGGAACAGCGCGGGCGGAGAGCTTGTTCGCGGTGGTATCGCGGACAAACGCACGAGCACCCCAGACCCGGAAACGCGACGCATCGCCAACCTTCCCCGTCCACAGCAGTGTGGGCGAGGTCTCCGGCAAGGAGACACGGGGCCAGAGGTTGAGCTGATGCGTGGCGTACCGGACCGCAAACGGCCACAGAAAATGGGGGGCAGCCGCATGGATCATGGAGGTACGAGCGACCTCCATGACTAAGCCAATGCGGCGCTCAGCAACCCCATTCTGCTGCGGAGAGGCCGGAAGCGTGAACGTCTGGCGGATGCCGTGCTCCGCACAGAAGGCTGCCAAGAGGTCTGAGGAGAACTCACCACCTCTGTTAGAGTGCAGACGCAGGACAGGAAAGTCCGACTGGAACCGCTCGCGGAGGTGGAGACGAACAGCGCGGATCAAGGGGATCAAAACATCAGGGACATCCCCCTTGCGCTGCAAGGGGAAGACCGTGGTGTAACGCGTGTAGTCGTCGACGACCAGCAGGAAGTACCGCTCGTGGCCCTGTCCACGGACGCGGGCTGGGCCCCACACGTCCAGGTGGAGAGTCTGCAGGGGAGCCTCTGTGGGAGGGAACGAGGAGGAGTGAGGAGCGGCGCGCTGCCGCCCCTCGACACAGGGAAGACAGGGAGGAGCAGGCGAGGGTGGTAGAGGAGGCAGAGTCTCTGGAAGTCCAGAGACAAGGAAACGGCGGTGCATGCTACAAAGGCGCTGCACCGAGGGGTGACCAAGGCGGTGGTGCCAAAGGAGGGTCTGGTGCGACAAAGCGCGACACGAGCAGGGGGCCGCTAGCTGACCTGACGCAGACGCAGATGTAGCGACCTGAGGGGACACAGTAGTCAGTGTGTACAGACTCGAGCCAGGCGCACGAGTAAACGTGGCCAGGTGCCGGCCCGTCCGGGAGCACGTACAGTGGGTCACTCGCTGACCTCCAGGAGTGAACTGGTCAACCCACTGGTCCTGGAGGTCAGCACCACCCACCAAGTTCGTAGAGAACGAGGGGAGGTGAAGACCTGACAGGAAGCCAGACGGGACTGCCGGACACGGCAGGACCGTGGAGGAGTGCGCAAGGACTGGACCCCCAGAGGGGTCTGCCAGGGAGACTGCAACCGGCCGACGGAGCGGCGTGAGGGTGGTGCTGTCGCGAAAGAAGGAGCGGGAAGCACCTGAGTCAAGTGTGAAGGTGTACAAGGCCTCAGCAGGCGCAATACCTGAGAGAGAAGACTCACCAGCACCTGGAGCAGCAGCCTCACCAGCACCTAGGGCAGCAGCCGCACCAGCACCTAGAGCAGCAGGCTCTATACCTGGGTCAGGCGGTACGCACAGGTAACAGGCACCGTCAGCACTAGTAGGCAATGCATACATGGCAGTGAGAATAGCATCATAGTCAAGAGCAAAGATATCTACCTTCTGCCTAAGCAGCTCCAGCCAGGTGGGGAGCTCAGCCTCGTCGCCAAACTCGGAACGCCAGGCGTCGCTCAGACGGGCGAAGCAGCGGGACTAGCGTCCCGCAAGCCTGACCAGCCCGATCACCTGTGCGAATGACGTACGGGCAGCGAACGGTACTCAAAGACCCTCTACTCTGAGCGTACCACTCGTGAAGCTGCTGGGAGGTAAGTGTCTCGCGTGGACGCCGCTGCAGCTGCAGCTGGCCACTGCCAGACGCTCCCAACTGACCAGCTCCAGGGCGACAGCTACGACGGCTACCGCCACAACCCCAACTAGCGTACCACTCACGAAGCTGCTGGGGCGGGAGAGACTCGCGTGGACGTCGCTGGAGCTGCATCTGGCCACCGCCACTAGCAGCAGTAGCAGTAGCAATAGCCTAGCAGTAGTAACAGAAGTCGCAGCAGTAGCAGCGCGGGCAGGGCAGGCGCGGCAGGCAGGCAGGCAGGCAGGCAGGCAGACAGGCAGGCAGGCAGGCAGGCTGGCAGGCAGGCAGGCAGGCAGATGGCGCGCCAGCGCGCTAACAAGGCAGGTGCTCACCAGTGGCGGGAAGAGCAGGCGCTCGCCAGGCGAGCAGGGCCGGCGCTCGGCGGGCGGCTGCACGGGGTCCAGGGGTGGCGACGCGGGTCCAGGGGCGGCGTCGCGGGGTCCAGGGGCGGCTGCACGGAGTCCAGGGGCGGCTGCACCAGGGGCGGCTGCTTCAGGGGCCAGGGGCGGCTGCTCTGGGTCCAGGGGCGGCTGCTCGAGGGTCAAGGGGCGGTTGCACCAGGGGCGGCTGCTTTAGGAGCCAGGGGCGGCTGTTCTGGGTCCAGGGGCGGCTTCTCGAGGGTCCAGGGGCGGCTGCACCAGGGGCGGCTGCTTCAGGGGCCGGGGGCGGCTGCTCTGGGTCCAGGGGCGGCTGCTCGAGGGTTCTGAGTCTGCTGTTGCGCGGTTTCCTTGGAGTAGCCGCCTTCGTCCGCGTGTGCCTCTCACCTCACAGCAGCTGCACGACTGGTACGGTCGCCGTCAGGGTCGCGCTTCTCGAGCTCGGGGCTCTGCCGCTGGAGGTAATTCTGCTGACGTCACTGGAGCTGGGAGTGGTGCTGGTCCCGGAGGTGCTCGTACTGGAGGTACTGAAGATGCTGGGGCTGGAGGTGCTTGTCAGAAGTAGTAGGAGTACGGCCTAGGCTTAGTAGCCTAGGCAACAGTAGGACTAGTAACGAGGAGCCAAGTACGAGCTAGGATTGTGTGCAGGAACAGAATTGAGAAGGAATGATTGAACTAGCAAGCAGCAGGATACAAATGGCAAACCCTAAGGGGCTGTACTCACTATAGAGTACCCCACTGCAGGCTACACAAACAACATATTCTGACAGTGCTGAGCCTG